TTTTTTTTGTTGTTTTTGTTTTTTTTCCCGTACCAGGAATCGAGCTCACAACCTTGCACTTGCCAGGCAGGTGCTGTGCCGCTGAGCTAAATCCCCAGCCCCTGACCGTGGGCACCTGGAGTCGGTCACTCGGTGCCAGGCGGGGCCGGGGCCGGGAGCCCCCTCGGCGTCTGCTCCCTCCGGGGCAGCCCCACCCTGGTTGCAGCACCCGCTGTGCTCTGGCTCCCGGGAGATGGGCTTGAGGAGTCCTGCAGATGTGCGCGGCGGCGACCTCGTTGCCTGTGGCCTCTTTCTCTGCACCTTGCTGCAGTGACACCTGTGTTGGGGTAGGGGAGCTGCCCCGCCCCATCGGCAGGACTGTCATACCCAGCACGCGCAGCCCGGCAAGCTTGCCCCGGAGCACGGCGGGCGGAAGGCTGCGGATCGGGCTGTGGGCCCGAGGGAGAGGTGTCCCTGCATGGCTGTGACTGCCTCTGTGGCTGGCTGGTCAGCCTTGAACCTTCAGGCCTCCAGGCCTTGAAGCCTCAGCTGGGGTCTGGGCACACCCCAGAACCGCGGGCCAGGACCCCCCATCTTGGTGTGCTTGGGCGTCCCAGGCGGAGTCACTCCTCTGGCTCTGGCAAGAGGCTTGTGGAGTTGAGTGCTGTGAGCAAGGGCCCAGCTCTGCTGTCCCCAGCCGTGTGGCCTTGGGCGCACTGCCCTGTTCGGGGCTCACTTATCACCTCTGAAGAGCATGGCAGCCTTCGGGCTGGTACAGGAGCGGGGCTTACGTCTGCCTCCTCAGAGGGGCACTGTCCTGCTCGGTGCAGCGTCTGATCCCTTTTGGGGCTGCCCCTGGTTCGGGTCGTGGCTGCCCGGGCCTCATGAACACCTCCCTACAGCTGGCGTGCGGCCAGGACGGGCAACTGAAGGGCTTCGCGGTGCTGGAGTACGAGACTGCCGAGATGGCGGAGGCGGCGCAGCAGCAGGCCGACGGCCTGGCCCTGGGGGGCAGCCACCTGCGCGTGTCCTTCTGCGCCCCAGGGCCTCCAGGCCGCAGCATGCTGGCGGCACTCATTGCTGCCCAGGCCACGGTGAGTGTGTGCAGGAGGCTCCCTCGGTGGCCTGGGGTCCCCGCCAGAGGCCACGCTGAGCTGCCCTGTCCCCCTCCTCAGGCCCTCAACCGCGGCAAGGGGCTCCTGCCTGAGCCCAACATCCTGCAGCTGCTCAACAACCTGGGCCCGTCCGCCTCCCTGCAGCTGCTCCTCAACCCCCTGCTCCACGGCGGTGCAGGGGGCAAGCAGGGTAAGCGGGGCCGCCCACTCCCTCACTCGGCTTCCCACCGAGCCCAGGCCGAGGCTTCTGGCCCTATCCGCAGCCAGGGCTTTGTGGGGTGGGGGACCACTGCCCAGCTCCCTCTCTGCATCTCCTGCAGGCCTCCTGGGCGCGCCCCCAGCCATGCCGCTGCTCAGCGGGCCGGCCCTGTCCACGGCGCTGCTGCAGCTCGCCCTGCAGGCCCAGAGCCACAAGGTAACGGCGGGGCTCCTACTCCCCACACTGGCGCCCTGGCACCCTGCGTGCCACCCTGGTGCCTGGGGAATGGTGGAACTCGGCCCTCTCCTCCTGGTGGGGTCCGCCTTTGCCCTGCAAGGACACCTGTCCATGGTGGCCCGACCAGGGGTCAGGGGAACTGGACGGGCCTATTTATAGCCCCAAACTGGGTGTGGCCCCAGAGCCCCACCCGCAGGCCTGTGCTAGGGAAGAAAGTCCAGCCCTTCCCCCAGTACGCCTGTGCGCAGGTGCAGGGCCGCACTGTGGGGTTGCTTTGCTGGGGCCCGGTCAGTGATGGGGCTGTGTCCGGGGGTGATGGTGAATCTCTGTGCTTGGGGCTTATGGGAGTAAGTATGACCAAAACCCTGTGGCTGTCCCACGCCAAGTGGCTGTTGTCACACTGCGCTTCATGAGGAGGCTGGGTGGCCCTGGCATGCTGGGTACGCCTGGCGTGCTGGGCCCCGGGGCACCACAGGCTGAGTGTGTGGGTGAGGGGGGTGTCAGCGGCCCCGGGGATGCCGTGTGTACTTGTGATTGCCAAGAACTTGGGGCGATATCCGCTGCTACCTAGTTTACCCCATCCCCGTCCACAGCTCACTGTGTCTGTTCTAGAAGCCCGGGATCCTGGGAGACTCGCCCCTGGGCACCCTCCAGCCTGGGCCCCAGCCAGCCAACCCCCTCCTCGGGGACCTGTCAGCAGGTAACACTGACCTGCCCGCCCTGCCTCCTGGGCACCGTCCCTCTCCGCTTCCCAGCCCCTTCCTCCCTGGCAGGGGTGAGTCCCCAGCTGTGTGGCCTTGGGCCAGTGACTCGGCCTCTTGGCCTGTCTCATCTGTCAGTGAAAGTGGGGTGCCCACATCACGGGGCAGCTGGGGGCATCCTGGAGGCTGATGCCCTGAGACCGCTTTGGCTGTGCTGGCTCTAGGGCCCTGGGAGAAGGGCCTCAGGGCTGGGTCCATGGCGACACTCTCCTCTCTCTGCAGGGGGCGGCCTGGCCCCAGAGCTGCCACCTCGGCGAGGAAAGCCACCGCCTCTGCTGGGCCCCTCTGGGGGTGACCGGGAGCCCATGGGCCTGGGCCCTCCTGCGGCCCAGCTCACCCCACCCCCTGCCCCTGTGGGGCTCCGCGGCACAGGTCTCAGGGGCCTGCAGAAGGACAGCGCGCCCCTGCCCACGCCCCCTGGGGTAAGGCTGCCCCTGCGCCTGCGCCGCTCCCTCCTCCTGCCCCGCGCTGCCCCTCCCCCGCGCCCTGGTGAACCCAGCCCCCTGTCACAGGTCTCGCTGCTGGGGGAGCCCCCCAAGGACTACCGGATCCCGCTGAATCCCTACCTGAACCTACACAGCTTGCTCCCAGCCAGCAATCTGGCTGGCAAGGAGGCCCGGGGCTGGGGGTGCACCACGAGAGGCCGCCGCCCAGCTGAGGGGCCCCTGCCCAACCCCCCAGTCCCAGGCGGAAGCTCCGGTGCGGGTAGCAGCGGCAGCAAAGCTTTCCCGCTCAAGTCCCGCCTGCTCAGCCCCCTCGCCGGCTCCCGCCTGCCCCCTGAGCCCGGGCTGTCCGACAACTATGGCTTCGACTACCCTTCAGTGAGTACCTGGCTGCCCTAGCCCAGCCGCCCCGAGGGCCAGCTGCTGGGGCCCTTTGTCCCTGTGGAGCAGGTCGTTCTCTAAACTGATGCAGGGTACGATCCCTAACCCAAAAATCTAAAATCCAAAAGGTCCCAAATTCTGCGATGTTTTTTTTTTTTGAGGCAGTCTCAGCCCTGACTGGCCTCAAACTCAGTGCTCCTGTCTCAGCCTCCTGAGCGCTGTGGTCCTGAAAATTGAACCCAGAGAGCACTGAGCTGTAATCTCCAGCCCTTTGGTGTGTTTATTATGGGATGGAGTCTTAGTGGCCCAGCCTGGCCTCAGTCTCAGTTGTGATCCTCCTGCCTCAGTCTCCTACATACTGGGGTTACAGGCATGCCCCACCATGCCTGACTACTTCTGAAACTTTTTGAGCACCACCTCTGATCTCACCCTGACCTCACATAACAGGTCACAGTCAGAATGCAGACACACAAAGAGTAGTGACCTGCTGTGCATGTAAGATGTATCTGAAGTGGAAATGAACTTCGTATTTTGGCTTGGTTTCTAGTGTTTTTTTGTTTTGTTTTTTTTCTTGGTTTTTTTTTTTTTTTTTTGAGATAAGGTCTCCCTATGTAGTTTAGGTGGGCCTCGAACTCACAGTGATCCTCCTGCCTCAGCCTCCTAAGTGCTGGGTTGGGTTCTATTCTTGAGACACCGCATTGTGTGTATTCCAGAATTCAGAACAATCTGAAGTCTAAGTGCTGAGGATTGCACCCTCATGCTGAGCTACATCTTCAGCCCTTTTAAAAAATTTTTATTTTGAGCCAGGGCCTTGCTAAGTTGCCCAGGCTTCAGTTCTCCTTCCTCAGCCTCCTAGGGTGCTGAGATGACAGGCATGAGCTTTCTGACCACATTTCTTTAGTACTGATTGTGCCAGGCCAAGCATTAGGCACATTGCAGGGAACCTGCCAGACACGGTCCCGGCCACAGGGCTGTAACCTGAGCTATAACCTGCAGCCCTTGCCCGTCAGCCCTGCTTCCTGTCTGCCTGGCTGTCCATCCTAGGCCCTGGACAGTCTTTCCCTGGACTCCTCTGTCTTTCTGTCGTACAAGGCCTTAGCTGTCCTTTCTGTCTGTCTGTCCGCTTGTGCCCCCATTGCTTCCTGGAGATTAGTCCTTCTGCAAGCCCACCCTCCTGGTCAGAAACTTCACACCGAGCCTCGGCAGGCCATACCTGTTATGTTTGGCCCACATGGGCCTAAAGCAGACCAACAACTGAAGTAAATGCCCAATAGGACAGTGGGAAGGATTCCCGACTATCGGTGAAAACAGAGCTGCTGACCCCCTCTGGGCCATTGTGGACTCAGGCAGTACACACACCTGGTCCCATTCCAGCTGCCCCACCTGCTCACAGCCCCCAAGGCCGAGTTTGTCCCGAGCACCTTAGTGCCGCTGGGCCACAGAACTGAACCCAGGGTGAGACTGGCAGACACAGCTCACGTGTCCCTGTCCCTTCCACTCAGGACGTGGGACCTCGGCGACTCTTCTCCCATCCACGCGAGCCAACCCTAGGGCCTCATGGACCCAGTCGACACAAGGTAAGAGGCACCGTGTGCACCCCGGTCCTGGATGCAGCAGGTAGATTTGGCTGTGTAACAAGTGGCCCTATCAGCTACTGAGCACAGCAAACATTTTGCAGTGAGGTCTGTGTGGTCTAAGCTGGTTTCCATCTGGGTTCTACTGATCCTCTTGCTTCAGCCTCCTGAGTAGCTAGGACTGCAGGCATAGGCCATCCTGGTTGGCTGCAGATATTTTTTTTTCTCAGCATTCTGCAAGAGGTGGGTGGACAGTTCTCTGCCATCACCCGGGAGCTCCACAGGCCCTTGGTGGCAGTGGCCTTGCTTCTGTTGGTGGTGGTTAGTAGGCCACTGGAGGAGGCTGGGATAGGCTGGGCCAGTTTATCACTGACCCGCACAAAGTTTATCTGCTCAAAGCCCAGCCTGTGCACAGCAGGACAAAGGCAAGCCAGCCCTCACGTGCCAGTCCTGCTGGGCAACGTTTGTTACGCCCCAGCCCAGAGTCTTTGGGTGGGGGGATCCTTTGCCACTCAGCCGCCCCCTCTCTGCAGATGTCTCCCCCGCCCACTGGCTTCAGCGAGCGCAGTGGTGGAGGCGGAGGGGCGCCTCTCTCACACTTCTACTCGGGCTCACCCACCTCCTACTTCACCAGCGGTTTGCAGGCTGGCCTCAAGCAGAGCCACCTCAATAAGGTGAGGAGCAGGTCCCTGGGACGGGCCCGAATGGGGGTGGTGGGGCTGCCTCCAGGCCGCTGTGACCGCAGTGCCTTGGCCACAGCTGCAAGTGGCAGGTGCGAGCCTAGAACAGCGGAGCCCCCTCGCCCCCTCCAAGAAGTGAGGGAGTGACCGGCGATCTCCCCTTCCTCCAGGCAGTCGGCTCCTCCCCGCTGGGCTCCGGCGAGGGGCTCCTGGGCCTTGGTCCGGGGCCCAATGGCCATAGTCACCTGCTGAAGGTACAGGCAGGGGGTGGGGACGCACAGGGCCGGGGAGTCCTGGCCCTGGGGCACCCCCTCACCCGGCCCCCCCTGCCCTCTGTCTCCAGACCCCCGTGGGTGGCCAGAAACGCAGCTTTGCTCACCTGCTGCCCTCGCCCGAGCCCAGCCCGGAGGGCAGCTACGTGGGCCAGCACTCCCAGGGCCTCGGTGGCCACTACGCAGACTCCTACCTGAAGCGGAAGAGGATTTTCTAAGGGGCCTACCCTGAGGATGCTCGGGGCGGTGCTGCGTTGCTTTGAGGCTTTCTGGTGTTTTGTTTTGTGATTTTTTTTTTTTTTTAAATTTTTTTTCTTTCCGGCAATAGAGAAATCTCTGAAAGACTTTGCTGACCAACCAGCCAGAGCCCGGGAGTGCAGGGGTGCCTGGCCGCTCTGCACCGCCGGCCTGCTCTGGGCATGGGACCCACAGCCTTAAGAGAGGGGCCCGGCCTGCTCTCCCCCTGCCGCTCCTGTCCTCCCTCGGGCCTGGCTCTTTCTCGGGGTCCCCTCCTGCCTTGTCACTCCTGTGTTTTGGCCTTTTGAGTGCCTTGGAGGTTTCCCTGACCTCCTGTGAGGATCAGAGACTGTCTCCCTGCCCCCTTTTTAACTTTGACAGTTGACTTTGTTTCCTTTTCTAATTTTTATTATTTTTTAAGCCATCCCATATGAACCCCCCGCCCAGCTCTGATTCCTTCAAGGCCCGCCTGTCCGGGCCTCCATTCCGTACTTCGAAGTTCCGGCCGGCTCAGCCCTCTCCTCCTCCTCCCCGCTGCTGCGGGCGGGGCACCTCTCGCCGCCGCCCCCCACCGGCCAGTGCCCTGCGCTGGCCCCTCTCCCTGCCCCTGGCCTCCGGATGCCTTAACGTCGGGCCGCAGGCCCCGCAGGCCAGAGCCTCTCAGACCGTGAGCTCCAGAAGCTTGACTCAGGACCAAACGGCTCTGGCCTCGGGCGCGGGCCCCCGCCCCGGGCACAGTGGGAGGCCTCGGCCCGGCCTTGGCGGCGCCCCCCCGCCCTTCCGCCCGGCCTGAGCACACGGCCAGGTCCCCCCGGCGCGGCCAGCCCCAGCGGTCTGTCCGGGCGTCGGCTGCTGTGGCATCTGACAGCCTCTGCCATCTCCCCGTGAAGACGCCCCCTGCGCCGCCAGCCTGGGGAGCCCAGACCCGGCCGTGCGGCCCAGTGCCGGAAACCAGCAGCCCCACGCAGACGGCGCCTGCCCACGAGCAGGACCTGCCCACCCGGGGTAACCCGGGCCCCGCCACCAGCTCCCCCCCCCCTCCGGGGCCCGCGTCCACTCCAGGGGTGGCCCTCCCCACCCTCCCACAGACCTTTGCTGAATTAAAGTTTGTAAGTACATGGTTTTAAAGAAATAAGATCTGGCTTGTTCTTGGGACGGGCGCCGGGGCGGGCAAGCTGGGACGGCCTCGTTTCCGTGCGTGGTCCCCGCGCGGCCCCTTCGCGCCACGCGGACGCCGTGCGGGCCGGGCCCGGCGCGCGCCCTGCGTTCCCGTTCTCGGGGCCACGGTCCTGCGGCCGGCACGGCGCATGCCCGGCCCGCGGTCACGTGACACCTGTCATGGCCGCCTCCTTGGTCCCGGGCGGCGGGAATGGCGGGCTACTGCTGCGCGCTGCTAGGGGCTCCTGGTGGAGCAGGACCAGGCGGGTGGCGGCGCTGACAACAACCAGGAAATTCCGGACCACAGGTATCCCAAGTGCCAGGGACAGGCTGCGTCAACCACTTGCACGCCCGCGGCGCGGGGGCCTGCACTCACTCAGCTGTGTTTTCTAGGCTGGCGCGCGGCACCAGGCGACACCGGCGGCCCTGAGCGGCCCGGGGACGTGTGAGTGCGGGGGCGAGGTGTCCCGTTCCTCGTCCCACCAGGTTTCCCGGGTTCCCGCCTTGCCCTGCAGCTTCTCTCTGCGTCCCTGATCTGCCTCGCGCTCTCCTATTCGTGTCTATCCAGCTCGATCCCCGAGTCTCTGAGCGTATGCGGCCCCTGAGCTGGTCGTGCACCTCGACATCCGCACCCCCGTCTGTCCCCAGGGTGAACGTGGTGTTCATAGACCGGTCGGGCCAGCGGATCCCAGTGAGCGGCAGAGTCGGGGACAATGTCCTCCATCTGGCCCAGCGCCACGGTGTGGACCTGGAAGGTAGGAGCCAAGCACAGGGTCTTACCCATCCGCGCCTATGAATTATTTCAGAAAGCGACGGTCAAATCAGTCTCTCCACTGCTTAGCCCACCCATGGGCTCCCACCAAATATGTATTAAAACCCAACGCTCTACTTCCAGTTAATAAGCGTTTATTACAGGCCACTCCAGTAGAACTCCTGCCGTTTAGAAGTTGTGTTCTTTTGCTACTGGGGATTGAAATCAGGGCCGTAATACTGAGCTACATCTAAGCCCTTTTATTTTGAGACAGGGCCTCACTCAGACTTGCTAAGTTGCCCAGGCTAGGTTTGTAGTTGTAGTCCTCCTGCCTCAACCTCCTAGAATGGTGGGGTTACAGGTTTGTGCCACCATGCCGGACTCTGTATTGGTTTTCCTTTTTGTTGTTGTTGCTTTCCGACACAGAATCTTGTTATGAACTCAGGCTGGTCTTTGAACTCAGTAGGTAGCCCAGGCTCACAAACTTTTGGAGATCCTGCTGCCTCAGCCTCCCAAATGCTGGGATTATAAGCATGCACCACTGTGCCAAGTACACATTGTTTTCTTGATGTTCTTCAAATAGTCAGGCTCATTCCTGCCTCAGAACATCCGAATTTGCTGTTTCCTCATGTCAGAAGTACTTTCCTAGCAAATTTATTTTTCTGTTTTTTTGAGACAGGGTCTAACTATGTAGGCATATGTAGCCAGTTTGAGGCTGGCCTCAAACTTGTGGTGATCCTCCTGCCTCAGCCTTTCATAGCACTTCTTACTGATTTGTTTCCTTCCTTATTGTCTGTCCCACCGTGAGCTCAGAGTCCCTGTTCACTTGCTCACACGTACCCATTGTGTTTAATGGTACTTAGACATGACAGGTATTAGATGAGCGCTTGCTAAAGGGAAATAACAGCAAACTAATACATATTTATTTCATACAATAGAGGAAATTAATTCCATTTTACAGATGAGAAAACTGAGCCCCAGTTTAAGTAGCTCTGGTCCCAAACGAAGTGACAAAACTAGATTCAAAACATTTTTGCCAGGCACAGTGGTACCTGCCTGTAATCCCAGCTGTTAGGGAGGCTGAAGCAGGAGGATCTCAAGTTCAAGCCCAGCCTAGGCAATTGAACAACTTAATAAGATACTGTCTCAAAATAAAAAGATTAGAGCTGGAAAAGTAGCTCATATCACCGGTACTGCAATCTGTTAGTCCAGCACATTTTAGCCACTAATTTGTGCTGCCCTCTTGTGATTCTGTGAATATTGAGCACCATGTGTATTGGGCAGCAGTGCATGGCAAATACACGGCCTCTGCCATCTCCCGATTTCAGCCCACTGAGGACAACAAGCCTAGAAGGAAACATATACTGTGATGTGTAATCACCTGGCAGGGTGGTCTGTTTGCTGGGAGAATGTAATAGGGTACCTGATGTAATCATTAAAGGGGGCTGGGGATGGCAGTGCACACCTATAATCCCAGCACTCAGGAGGCTGAGGCAGGAGGGGCACCACAAATCTGAGGCCAGCCTGAACTACCAGTGAAACCTTGTCTTTAAAAAAAAAAAAAAAAAAAAAAAAAAAGGGGCTGGGGATTTAGCGCAGCGGCAAAGCGCCTGCCTGGCAAGCACAAGGTCGTGAGTTCGGTTCCCAGTACCGGAGAAAAACCAAAAAAAAAAAATTTAAATTAAAAAAAAAAAAAAAAAAGCATTAACGGGAGCAAGACATTGGGAGGTCCTGGCTGGCCTCCCTGCTGTAGAGGTGGTTTTGTTCCAGAATCCTGTAGGCAGCAGTTCAGGTCAGAGTTTGGGACATGAATTTCATTTTTTGTTTACTTTTGTATTTTTATTTTATTTATTTATTTTTGAGCCATGCCTTGCTATGTAGTCCAAGCTGGCCTTGAACTCTCAGTGATCCTCCTGCCTCAGCCTCCTGAGTTCTGGGATTACAGGCGTGTGCTACAGACCAGCCTATTTAATATTTTAAAAAAAGGTTTTACAGTGCTAAGTGCTACACAAAATTAAAAGGGGGACAGTGACAAGAGACAGGAGGTGGGGGCATCAAATTGGGGGATGCTTGCATTGAATCCCAGAAGACAAGAGGGATCCAGCCAGGAAAAGATGGGAAAAGTGAGCATTCTGGGGCATGGGTACAGCAGGTGCAAAGGCCCTGGGGAAGGGATGGGTTTGATGTATTACATGGCATCAGGAGGCCAGTGTGACTGAAATGGAGTGAATAAGGAGAGGACAGATCTCATGGACCACACGGAAGGTTTGGATCTTATCCTGGGTGTGAACACCCTCTGCAGAGCTGACCAGGATGGCCGTTGTCCCCAGGTGAAGTTCTCAGTGACCCGCCTGAGGGTTCAGGAGTGTGGCAAGGGTGTGGGGACAGCAGAAGTTCCCCGCTGCTGCATCTCAGCCTTGATGCCGGCCCTCCTCCCACCACACCCCGCCTGCCAGGGTGTGGCCTGGGAGCAGTGGGAGGAGCACATGGGCCCAGTGAGGGGCACAGCCAGGCTTCCGGGCTTCAGAGAATCAGCCTGGCCTGGCCCCTTCAGCTATTGGAAGTCACATGCTCTCCCGTGGTTCCACATAGCCAGCCAGGTCCTTGGCCACCCTGGGTGTGCCTTTGGGTCTCTTTGTCTGTTTGTTTGTTGTTTGGGGGTTTTTGAGACAGGGTCTCACTGTGTAGCCCAGGCTGGGCTTGAACTTGTGGCAGTCCTCCTGCCTCAGCCTCCCTATTGCTGGGATGACAGGCGTGCACCACCACACCTGAGCTGGATGTCCCTTTGGAAGGTGTCGAGGCAGCTGAGGAGCAGTGGGTGAAGGACAGGGAGGCAGCCAGCCCAGCAGGGAGAGGGGGCACCAGCAGCGGGGTAACAGGCCCCCAACACCTGCACGGTGGGTGTTGCCCATCTGTCACCTCCTTCTCTTCTGCCCCAGGAGCCTGCGAAGCCTCCCTAGCGTGCTCCACCTGCCATGTGTATGTGAGCGAGGCCCACCTGGACCTCCTGCCTCCGCCTGAGGAGCGGTGAGCAGGCTCCCGCGCCCAGAGCCCCCCGCTCCCCGCGCACTCGGCCGTCCCGCCCTGCCCCACCCCCGGGCTGCCCATCGCCCCACCCGCCTGGCCGCGTGCCTGCTGCTCACTGTGCCCTCCTCGCCCAGGGAGGACGACATGCTGGACATGGCGCCCCTGCTCCAGGAGAACTCCCGCCTGGGCTGCCAGGTCGTGCTGACTCCCGAGCTGGAAGGGGCAGAATTCACCCTACCCAAGATCACCAGGAACTTCTACGTGGACGGCCACGTCCCCAAGCCCCACTGACCGGGCCAGCAGGACCAGCCCGGGACCGCAGTGGCCCTGGGAGAAGGACTGAAGGAGGAGCCCAGCAGCCAGCCCGGCGCAGAGTGCAGACCTGGGACAGAGAAAGGTCGCAGGCACCGAGAAGGCCATAGCCCTGCGGAGGACAGATCCCTCGTCCAGGCTGTGGCGGGCCAGGGCGCCTCCCTGGGGAGCCTCCCCTGAGCCCCTGAGACGCAGAGTGTAAATAGGGGTGGACTCGAGTTACGGCTGCAATAAAGCTGCTGCAGCTTTCAAGCATGTCGAGTGTCTTTGGGGGCCGATGCCAGTTAGATCCGCAGCCACATCTGCTGCTCCCCCGCCAAGCCTGGAACCCCCCCCTTCTCTTTTTATTTTTTTTTATTTTTTTGAGACAGGGTCTCGCTATGCATTTCAGGCTGGCCTTGAACTCACTATGTAGCCCGGCTGGCTTCCAACTCGCAGAGAGCCTCCTGCCTCAGCCTCCCGAGTGCTGGAATTACGGAAGGGCGTCACCAGGCCCAGCTTGGGACCCCAGTCTTCTGACAGTACTGGGCTCGTCCCACCCCTACAGCGGCGGAGGGATTTGCAGGGATCTGGCTGGAAGGAACAGTGGTCACCCTGGCGGGGGAGGGGGCGGGACAGAGCCACCCTGGACCCGGAGCGGTGTGCAGAGCCGAGGAAGGAGGGGGCGCTGCAGGGACGCTGCCAGCCCCGCCCCACCCCCCTGCGGCTCTGCACCCTGGCGCCGAAGCGCCCCGCCACCACCGCCACCACCGCCGCCCACAGGTGGCGCCCATCCTCATCAGGGCTTCTACGCGGGGGCGGGGCGGCCACAGAGATTGGGACGGGGGCTGGGCAGGCACCATGGAGGCCGATCATCTTGCCTCGGACCTGCTGAGGGAGCTGCTGGCGCCGCCCTGTCTGGACCCCGAGTCGCTCCCAGGACCCTCCGCCCAGCGGCAGCCGCGTCCCGTGCGATGCCCCAGAGCCAGTGGCAGGTGGGTGCGGCGCCCCTTCCTCCCTCACTGACCCGCGGGGTCCATGGGCCTGATCTCGGGTTCCTAGGGTCACCCCGAGGTCACCGTGTTAGTTACTGGCGCGGTTCTAGGCCCGAGGGACCCTTGGGGGTCATCTGAGATCAGAAGCCTGCAGTGCGCCGCCCCCCTTTTCTGAGGTTCGTATCGGAACCTCAGAACGTATCGGTTCGTGCCGCGGTCAAGGAGGGGAATCTAACGATAAAAATCATAAATCAGGGCTGAGATGCTGCACGAGGTTCCACCCCTGCACCAAGAGAAGAAAAATAAAATTTTTTAAATGATAACAGCCACCCTGGAGCCCCAGCCGGTCCCCTAGAGTAAAGCGTCCAGGAGTCGCAGGGCGGTGGCGCGGTGGATTGGGCCAGCCCAGCCCTGTGTGCGATTACTTTGTAACTTTGAGATCCTCTGACCGCCCCACACTGCCCCCGGGCACAGGCTGAGGCAGAACAGGTGCCAGCCGGAACCCCGGGCTCCTGGACCCTGGTCACCCGGACGCCGTAACCACCAGCCTCTCGTCCTCAGGTCCCTCTGGCCCGTGTGTCACGACTCTGTCACGATCCTGCGACTTCTCCAAGAGACGGAAGAGGGCCAGGCCCGGGCCCCCACTCAGGCCACGCAGGCCCGGGGGACCTTCTGGGAACCTATGGCCCAGGGGTCTTCCGGCCCGCGGACCATGGCCAGAAGTTCCAAGAACAAGCAGACTCCAGGCAGCCGAAAGTGTCGAGGCCAGGAGTCCCTTGGGACGCCCGCAGGTCCGTCCCAGAGGAGACCTAGGAAGCAGCTGAAGCCCCGCCAGGGAGCCGAGCGGGTAGACCCCGGGTTTAAGGGGGTGACCCTGAAGTTCCAGATCAAGGCAGATTCCAGCCTGCAGATCTCACCCACCTACAGGTAGGTGCTGGTGGGCACTGCCCTTTCTGCAGTCCACCCTCCGTGTGTGCGGGAGGACACCAAAAAGACACCAGAATCCAAGAATGCTCAAGCCCCCGTGTAAAACGGCCTAGCATTTCCATAGGACCTACGCATATCCTCCCATAAACTTCACATCCCCTGTCTGTGATATAATAGCAAATACATGGGCTCGGTAGTGCACACCCTTCATCCCAGCACACTGGGAGACTGAGGGAGGTGGATTGCAAGTCTGAGCCCGGCCTGGGCAAGTGAGCAACTCAGAAATAAAAAATAAAAGGGCTGGGGATGGAGCTCCGTGTGAAAGCCCTGGGTTCAATCCCCAGTACAAGGGAAAGAAAAGAAAACTATGCTTTGGGAATAGTTGTTAGCTGGGCGTGGTGGCACACACCTGTAATCCCAGCGCTCGGGAGGCTGAGGCAGAATTGCTTTGAGTTCGGAAGCCAGCCTGAACTGCATAGGGCAACCCTGTCTTTGAAAAAAGAAAGAAAAAAAGAGATTATTGTTAGACTGCACTGTTTCGGGGGTGATGACAAGTCTGTACATGCTGGTCCAGACGCAAGTTTTTCCCCAAATATTTTCAATCCAAGTGTGTGTTTCCTGTGGTTCGGTTTGTCTCGTGCTGCTGAGGGTGGAGCCCGAGACATCCCCAGTGCTAGGCGGGTGCTGTAGCCCTGAGCTGCTCTCGAAGCCCCCAAAGCTTGTGCTTTATTTTTGTTTTGTTTTGGTTTGGCTTTTTTCAGGAGTCTCCCTATGTAGTTCAGATTGGCTTTAAACTTGAGGTGACCCTCCTGCCTCAGCCTCCCAAGTCCTGGGATGACAGGTGTGCACCACCACACCAGGTTCTTTATCTCCCAGTCACAGGCCTGGTGTCTTCTGCCAGACAGGCTTGGCCGTACTTCTGCCAGCTGCTTTTATTTTCCTCAAAAACGACCTTAGCTAGCCTTTGTCAGTAATGAGAACAGCAATGAGACAACAGATAAGAAGTAACAGGCTTTGATAGATGTGGACTCTTTTTTTTTTTTTTTTTTTTTTCTCAGGTACCAGCAACCGAACTCAAGACCTTGCGCTTGCCAGGCAGGCGCTTTGCCGCTGAGCTAAATCCCCAGCCCTAGATGTGGACTCTTAAGTTTTGATTCATTTATTTGTTTTGTACTACTGTGGATTGAACCAAGAGCATTTGCACTGAGCTATAACTCCAGCCTTTTTAGTTTTTAATTTTGAGACAGGGTCTCCATAAGTCACTAAATTGCCCAAGCTGGACTCAAACCTGAGATACTCCTGCCTCAGGTTCCCAAAGTTCTGGAATCATGGTCTGCAGCTGGCTTATGTGAGCTTGTTAAAGCCTTGTGAAGCCCATTTTGCAGATGAGGAAACTGAGGCCATGGGGAGGACTGAACCTGTCAAGATCACACTTGGTGTGGGACACCTGAGATTCCAACCTGGCAGGTTGCCCCAGGCATCCTGCTCCTTAAAATAGCACTAATTGCCGGGTGTGGTGGTGCACCCTGTAATCCCAGCACTCAGGAGACTGAGGCAGGAGGATTATTGTGAGTTTGAGACCAGCCTGGGCTACAAAGTGAGCTCAAGTCCAGCGTGAACTGCATAGCGAGACCCTGTCTCAAAGAGACAAAAAAAAAAAACAAAAAAACAAACACTAATTATGGCAGGGGTAGTAGCTGTCATTTCAGGACTCTAGAAGTTGAGGCAGGAGCGTCACAAGATTGAGCCCCGCCTGACAACATAGTGAGACTTTGTCTCAAAATACAAAATAAGGAGGGCGGGCTGGAGCTCAGTGCCAAGGACCTAGGTTCTGTCCCTGGGATGCTGGTTTCCTTGGTAACGCATCTTCCTTTTGGGGGGCCATCCGGGACAGGATGTAGGCCCCCCCAGGCTAACACCTTGTCTACCCCCAGCCTGGCGGGCAGCAGGCAGACCGAGGGAGCGCCCGAGAGCCCCGCCAGGGCCGCTGAGCCCAATCCCAGAGGCGGCGAGGCCCTAGGTGAGTGAGCCCTCCGGCACGGGAGCTGTAAATATTTAGGGGAGCGATTTCCCATCCCCCCAGCCTCTCCCTGCCCCCTTTCCCCACCCTGCTTCCCCATTTAGCTGGCTCCCCCAGGCTGAGTCACCCCAGCCCCCAGCTTCCGCCCGCCACCCGGCTGCGCCATCTGTCTCTCTTCCTGGCTCCCCCTGCAGCGGCCCAGAGCTGGGGGCGCCGTCACAGAGCCACTCAACAATCACGCGCCACTCGGGCCGCTCCACTTCAGACTCTTGGCCTCTGACTGCGGCCCTTTGTTGACCTCTGACCTCGCAGGCCCCCGGCGCTGTGCTTCCTGTAGGACCCAGCGGACACCCCTGTGGAGAGATGCGGAAGATGGGACCCCGCTCTGTAACGCCTGTGGTATCAGGTCTTCAGCACAGCAGAGGGAATTGGAGTGGGGGACCCCAAATCAGTCCAGATGTCGTCAGTGTGGGGTGTAAGGGAAGTGGTGGGCCATGTACTCAGGAGGCTGAGGCAGAAGTCACTGAGAGTTCCAGGCCAGCATGGGCTGTATAGTGAGACTGTCTCAGAAAGACTAAAAAATACCACCAGCAGCACCTCAAAAAAAAAAAAAAGAAAGAAAAAGAAAGAAAGAAAGAAAGAAAGAAAGAAAGAAAGAAAGAAAGAAAGAAAGAAAAGCAACAACAAAAATAGACCTCTTGTGGGAAATGGTTGTCTTATGGCGGTTTCTGGGCCCTGCTGCATTCTGGTTTTTTTGTTTTTGTTTTTTTGTTTTTTTTGTTTTTTTGAGACAGGGTCTCA